TTATTATTATTATTATTATTATTATTATTATTATTATTATTATTATTGTTATTATTATTATTATTATTATTATTATTATTATTATTATTATCAGTGATATATCATCATTATTATTATTATCAATATTCTTTATGCGTTATAGAAATAACCTCGTATTTATATAAACTCATTTGAATGCCTACCCCTGATTTCAAACTTTCATTGAGTCTGACAGGAGACTTTTATTCAACTCACTTTGTTCTGATCTGTTGTATTTGTCCTTTCACGGCATGTCCAGAAATGTAACATAGCATTATTTCACATGTTAAAAGAAAAAAAGATCGCATTCTGAATTCGGGGGACAACTCCATCCAGCGCGCGGCTCTCTCCACCATGGGATCCTAACTTTGTGACCTCCCTCACCTCCTCCCAAACCCACGAACAGGCCTGCGTCACGTCATTAATCTCTGTCAGTCAATACTTCGACCAGGTTTATCACTAAGCGCATAAATGCGAAACCATACAGTCCGTGGGAAAACAAAGTTGATCTGAAAGGAACTCGTGCGTTCGCAAACAAAGACAACTAACTTTATTTTTTTACCGTACGATTTATCTGCATGGGGAATTCATCTTTATTACTTATGCGAGCACGAAAACAGGTGGGATGCGCACGCGCTTTAATGCAATCGTGAACGGGGCCTCACTTAAACTTTTAGGGGCCAAACACCCTTTCATCACTTTTGGAAGTAGCCTTAAGTTGTTGAAATAGGTGGAAAAAGCGCATGTATCCCTGTGAGGAGGACTGTTGGGAAAGTGCTCGTGCACGCCCCACATTTTAATCACACTGAGCCCCCCCCCCCTCCTCTCTTCTCTCTGACACGAGGCACAACCTCCTCTTAGTGGAAGCGCTGTTGGACCAGAGATGAGATCCAGCCCATGGAGAGCTCCACGTGAATGCTTCCAGCGCCACGACCACTCAGAGCCCGGAACAACCGAACCGGCCCCTCGCGCTAACGGATTGATCTGAGATTTTTTTTTTTTAATCGATGGATTTGTTTTCAAACCGCTCCGCAATTTTACCGCTCCGGTAGGGCTGAGGGGGTAAGAAAGAGCGGGTGTCCCCGAGTGAGGGTGAGAGAGAAGCGGCGAGAGGAGAGACAGGGGGTGGGAGGTGTGGGGGTTGGGGGGGGGGTGGGGGACGAGGGGAAACATATATTCTTTTCGGCTATGGAGCTCACCATGGAGAACCTGCACAGCGTCTCCTCGCATTCCCAGGCGGGAGACCTCATGAGCTCGCCGCACGCGCGACCGTCTCCCGCCCCCAGCTCCACGCCGCGGAACCTGGTCTCCCACGCTCCCGGCGCGCGCTCGGCCATGGTCTCCGGCATGGCCTCCCTCCTGGAGGGCTCCGGAGGGGACTACCGCGCAGACCCCTCCGCCCTGTCCGGACACCTCCATCCCTCCATCAGCATGTGCGAGACCGGGATGAGCCTTAGCAACACCTACACCACCCTGACCCCTCTGCAGCATCTACCTCCGATATCCACCGTGGCGGACAAGTTCCACCACCCCCACTCCCACCACCACCACGCCGCCGCCGCCCACCAGCGGCTCTCCGCCGGGAACGTCAGCGGGAGCTTCACGCTGATGCGCGACGACCACCGGGGGCTGACGTCCATGGGCAATCTGTACGGTCACTACCCCAAAGAGATGTCCGTGTCCGCCATGGGCCACAGCTCGCTCTCCCCGCTGTCCAGCGGTCTGGGCTCCCTGCACAACTCCCAGCAGTCGCTCTCCGCCTACGGTCCCGGCGCGCACCTGTCCACCGACTCCAAAATGCTTTCCCCGGTGTCGGGGTTCGAGTCCCACGCGTCCATGCTGTCCCGAAGTGACCCGGAGCACCTGGCCAGGAGTTTAGGGGGCCACGGCCACGGCATGATCTCCAACCTCAACGGCATGCACCACCACCCGCACGGTCACCTGCACTCCCAGGCGAACGGCGCGGTGCTGCTGGGGGACCGGGAGAGGCACGGTCACGGGGGGGCCGGCCAGGGAGTATCAGGGTCAGGCATCCAGGCGGAGGAGATCAACACAAAGGAGGTGGCTCAGAGGATAACGGCGGAGTTAAAGCGGTACTCTATCCCGCAGGCTATATTCGCCCAAAGGATCTTAAGCCGGTCGCAGGGCACCCTCTCAGACCTGCTCCGGAACCCCAAACCCTGGAGTAAACTCAAGTCAGGCCGGGAGACATTCAGGAGGATGTGGAAGTGGTTGCAGGAGCCCGAGTTTCAACGGATGTCTGCTCTCCGGTTGGCCGGTGAGATAGTCGTTTAAAATTCTTTTTTTTTTTTCTTTCATTCAACCTGGTCATAATTAAGTAGCAAAACAGCCGCTGTCGTTGTTTCAGACAGATACCTAAAAGATGCTGCGCCACGGACCACTCTTCCGGGTAAGACATGAGGCACGGCGGCTCCCTCCAGTGAAAATGAGCTAAATCTCAATTTCCCAGGGATCCAACTATTGTAATTGGAAATAGACCAAATATATGTGTTCGATCCGAATATATCAATATATTATTGGTGGACACCGACCTTTACGCACTCTGTTTTAATCTAGATTTGTTAGTCTATATTTCTGATCGACACATGAAATCCCAGCTGTATTACAATAAACGTCGAAGTACACATCCTCCCACGACGCTTGTCTTTGCGCGCGAGCGCGCGCGCGCGCGTCCCACGCAGCAGCTGCGGTTGTGGGGCTCCCGGGCCAACTAGTTGCGCGCCAGAAGCGGGGTGACCCCAGGCTAAACGATCAATATGCCAGTTCCCCCTCTCCTTTTTTAAATGTGGCACACCAATCGATACTCGTATCGAAGTTGAAAGACGTAATAACCACACGTTCTCTTCGGCTTTGCATTTAGTACCAACCCAAAAGCTCTGAGTTTGGAACACGGACGGCATGCTGTTTGAAATAAAAAACAAAGAGGGGAAACCTTGTCAGTCAACGGAAGCGTCTCCAATGTAGACTCAGGAAAGTTGGTTGAAATGAATTCAACCATCATTTCACTGGATAAAAATAAAAATACACCTTAAGTTTCTTTTGATGACATACTTTATAAGAAACAGAGAGGTGGAAAATATAGAGATTAGCCGCATGTAAACACCTGATAGTTACATTAAGTATAACTGGTCAAACATCTTTTTTTTTCTGCTACAGAAATGTTTATAGAGACTCACATCCACGTTGCTTTGGCACCGACTTACTGGTCAGCAACTTTCAAGCCAGCAGTGGGAACCATGACAACTGTTAAGGAATGGTTGAAAAGTATTCAATGTCCCCCACACCCTTAGGATACCAATCACAGGGCATCTGCCTAATCCACAAGAACTCCCCCCCTCAGCCCACGGGGCCCAAAGGGTCTGTTTCTGATGCCCCTGTGCCAGACACTTAAGGGCACCCTCAAATTCTCTGTATCCACACCGTTACTGGTTGGAGCTCTATGGGAGGCAAGAGAAAGATGTTAAGTCAGATTAGTGTAGCCTCCAACTGCATGAACCCGCCGACGTGATCCCCAGATCCACTCTGAGGCAACTTTGAGCTGCGCAAACGGCTCTGATGAAATATTGATTCCATTTGGGATGGGGATTGGTAACACAGTCCAATATGAACAAGAAAATACAGATAATATGGACTTTGCGAAGCAGAACTCAGTAGGCCTGCAAATTGTGGGGTCAAACGACCTTATTTTCCCATCAAAATTCACTTGATCAGCCTCAGTTGATATTAAAAACCCAGAGGGCGAGATATTCAGATGAAAAGCTTATGTATTGTTAACAGTCAACAGATTTGTTTTGACGAAAGCACTCAAGTACAGATGGATTAAACAGGCAACAGCGAATGATAGATGGATAGATAGAACGATGTATAAGCGATGGATGGATGAGGATTCAGAGGTAAGGCTTTGAGTGTCATTAATAGTGTTGCTCTGTCCTTTCAGTGTTTGCCTGGCTTTGCACATAGAAGATCAATAAGGCCGTTTCCCCTTCCCAACCCCCTTCTCTCGCACTCCCCAGTGCTCTGCTCTCCCTCTCTGCTGCACATGGCCATAATATCACCCATCTTTCTCTGGTTAACCTGGCAACAGGCGAGCACGTTATTTATTTCAGGAGATTATCACCACAGAACAAAACAACAAGAAACAGACGGAAAGATGAATAAGATCTGTTTAGTAAAGTCAAGCAATAAATGCACCAATTTTCAATCCTCCCTGCACTCTCTTATCCGTGCCATCTTTTAATGCCCATCAAACTTTCTTGTACCATGAAAGATTGATACTATTATTTTTTTTCCCGAGGTATCCAAATGGACCGAATTGGAATGTACAAAACTTCAGTCTACCTGGCTTAAGTGCAAAGGCGAGAAAACCAGGACTGACATGTGGAAAAAGAGCTGCAGGAGCCAGGAGATGCCATTGATTGAGAGAGGGCTGGCAGGTTTGGGCTTTGTGTGAACAGTCAGATAGAGGCAGGGTAGTGAAAGGATCGATACCGACCTTAATAATTGATAAGTATAAGGGAGACGGAGGCGAGAGGGGAAGAAAGAAAGAGGCAGAGTGGTGGTGCGAGCGCTTGTAACAGCATCTTCTAGGTAAGCAAAGTCAAATCTGCGGTTAACAGCTGAGGACCACACACCGGTCTTCTTCCCTAAACACCACAGCACAGGGCGTGTAAGTGGTTTTGAAAATCCCTGTTTACACCCCAATCTAACTGGGAGATATCAATAGCAACAAACCTGACATCAAACAGTGTGGTGGAGGCTTCCAATGCTGGAAACTCACTTCAGAACATATTCATGAGGCCAGAAAACAACCCTCCCCTGACTACACGTAGCAAAGGATCCACACTGTTTCATGTTAAATCAGGAGAGGAAGGCTGATATTATTACGTATATACCAAAAGATCAGAGCCTAAGCGAGTCTTACAGTAGACAAAGGGCATCAGAGCATCCAGCTGCCTATCGACACCTAGTAATGAGTGTTTTCTGCTCATGTCAGCGAATCCTCAAAGCAATCCAAGGTTGTGATGTCATTTGATTTTAAAGGTTGCTATGCTTTATGGTGTTTGTAATGCAGCTTTATGGAGGCTTGAAGCGCATTTCACTGAATGTTTATGTGTCTGTCCACATACACATGTGTGTGTGACTGGGTTATAGAGTGTGTCTGCACTATACATTGTTCAGGCTTATCTGACTCGCTCTGAATCGGTATTGATTTCCTCTCTTCTGCTCTCTTTGGCTCTCTCATATTCCCCCCCCCCCCCCCCCCCCCCCCCCCCCAACCCCTCCGGTCTGGCTCTGTATCAGCATCAGCAAGGCAGATCCCTTGCCTTCTAACCGTAATTCGCTCTATGGTCATCCCTCTCTCTGTAACAGGCATTTTGCATAGCCACTGCAAGAACAGTGATGGGAAAAAATATTTTGGTATGAATTAAGGGGAACTTTCAGCTTTGATAGCTGAGCATAGCAAAAGAAGGAAATGAATAGTTGAAGTTTTGCACAATTTCACACCAAACTGATCAAACCTATAATTTAGGAAACGTATATACTAGTAAGACGTAAACAAAAACATGTACACTTTTTATTTGTTTTTTATTATTCCATTCATCCCATAAATAAAAATGTTTCTTCTTAAAATTACACTTTGCAGCAGAGTCTTGTCTTTAGGCTCGTGGCTTACACGTTTGGGTTGGGCCTCGTGGTGCTGAAAGGACAGCTCCTTCACATCCCACTCCGCCGCCGTCATCATCCCCTTCAAAACGATCTCCCTGTTCCATTGTCGGGGTGGAACTGCAGCATTTCAGCTCCCATCCCTTTGTCCCCAGGGCCGAAATTCATCACACGTAAACTTTATCAGCGTTAGACCCTCTACAGGTCCGTGGCTTGTGAAAGAAAGGGCACAGTTTGTGGGAAACGTGTTAAAGAAGTCACGTCTAGCCTGTGATTTTTACAGAAGATATTTCATTTTAATTTGAAAAATACATCTGATACAACAAGCATGTCATTCCGAAACATATATGCAAAAAATATTAATAAAAAGTAACTAAGGCTTTAAGGCTCAATGGACATCCTATTAGCTATATGAGATAATCCGATTCCTTAACCTATGTTGAATAATAGTCAAAGTTTGTTGGAGAGCACGATAAAACTAAATATCTCAAATTAAGTTAAATTCCTTTTTAAGGTAGCCCATTGAGCTGTTTAAAAGAAATTAGGATGTCCCTTCATCTACTTTTAAATGTATCTGACAGGGTTCGGGCTTAATTGTCTTTTTTATTTATTTTTTTTTTTTTATCTTGTGCTTCGAATATCCAATCGGTTTCACGTGGTTGATGAAATATTTCCCCCCAGTTTAACTAGGAGTTTAAGAGGCGCGCAGTTAAACGGAGCGTTTAAACGTGGCGCAACTTCCGCAGACCCTTTACAGACTGAAAGCCAATACGTGATGGGTTGTAAAGCCGCCGATCACTCGTCTCAACAGGGCATCGCGGGGGCCTCTTCATTGGGACATAAACGGCAGCTTTCAAATGAGCCAATCCAGATCAATTGAGAGTATTTAAAGGATGACGGAACCGTGCGGGTTTCGCTGCTGCTGTGCCGTGCTTGTTGTGCAAGGGGGTGTTTTTTTACGTCCCGGCAATGAACAGGCTTATATAACATGGTCAATACAATCAATAATCGTACATCTGAGAGGTGTGACAGAGAGTGATTGACACCAAACTGTTTCTCACCTGCAGTAGTCCGTCCAGGGCGGGAGAGGGCCCGTCTCACCGCACACAAAGCCCGATCTCATCCGTCCGTCCAGGCGTCGACTAGCAGCAGCACGGTGCGGTTAGTTCACCGTCTGCCCCTCATTTGCCCATTTGCTCCCTCATCCACACACACACACAGACACCTACACACACACAAACACACCCACCCACCCACGCACACTTTTGTGCAAAGGCATTACACACGTTTATGTGTAAAACATATTTCCTTTAGAGTAAATTGTTTAATTAGAAAAAAAAAAAAATCTGAATTGAACCCTAGAGCTGATGCCAGCTGCTTTTTCCTCTGGAAAAGTCAGTGGATGAAATCTAAGTGTGGCTCCCCAGTGGCTTTAATCTGCGCTTATAGTGTTACTGTGATACGTTTTGGAACATGTAGTTGATATGCAAGAATCTCATTTTCCTCCTGCACAGGCAACATTTCCAAGCAATCCAGACAGAGCGTCTTCAGACGGTCACATTCATACATCTGTTGGCTTGCTTGTTGTGTAATTTATCCTGTAACACAACTCTGTGTTATTAATAGCTCATTATCAGTAGAAATTCAATCCCCTTTTCGCTTTACTTTTTCCATTTCTATGACATGTTCTGATTTCACTTCGACCTTCAGTCATGTTCATCAGCACAGTTTTTAAGGTTATTTTTACATTCACCATTTAAAATAAGAAAGTTATAAGCATCCCTTACAAGTAGACAAAGTGGTCAACCAAACCCTTGTTGACACCCACAACCTCAAAAAAGTTTGCACTTTCCTTTAAGACTAAGACATCTCGTGTGCAGCATATTTAAATTTGTTATTTTTCTATAGAAGAGATATTTTAAATCATATTACTATTTTGATTGATTCTGGCTTATATTTACATGCCCTAAAGTAAAAAATACTAAGCCCACTTTTACAAGTATGAAGTACTGGACCAGTAATTAAACTGATATTTGGAGTACTTCTTATTTGTAGGCGAGGAACAGAATTGTATTATGTTATTTTTTAGTATAATTTCCTGTAAATTCAAGATGGGCAGATGGCTTTTGTATGTCTGCTTTGAACTAAGAAGTAGATAGAAACTTTTACCACCACAAAACAATACGCTCTTCTTTCCCGGTGCAATCAATAACATAATAGCGAAGTTAACCGTAATATACTCCGCTTCTTATCTTCATTCAAATCCCTCTGAGAGGCAAGATATAAGCACGAGTGGCCACTCGCTTTTGAATGGTCAACAGCAAGGAGATCAGTCCGAGGTCAACATGAAATTTAAGTGGCTGTTGCCTGATACACTTGGTGTTGTTGACACCAGGACACACGAAGGAAACAACTTGACTCGAAAGCCACTTGAGACTGCTGCTTGTCTGTTCAAGAAGCATCATTTGGTAATGAGGCAGCTAAAGATTGCCTATAACAGTTTGGTTCTTTCCTCAAGAGAGGTCCCTTTTAATGAGCAGCTCCCCATTTTCCATCCCTACGGTCCTATCGTTGCTCTGCTGCAAGGGTGCTCAGGGGGCCAGAGGAGTCTCACTTGAAATGGACTTATTGATTATCTCAAATATGTAGTGACCGGGGCCAGGCCTGTGCTAACTTCTCTGTTTCGCTTGGTTGTGATGGTGGCCATGTTGGCTCTCACCGCGGGCCTCTGAGCTGCTTATTCCGGCTGACGGAGGAGAACCAGAGTAGTGTTGGCATTGTAAAATGGCCGGTAGCACAAGTTGTTCGAAAACAGGCATTACATATTAAATTATCACTATATTAGCGCTAGCATTCAGTCATTACATTAGGGAGTATTGAGTTTGGTTTGAGACAGCACTTAAGAGAGGCCAGAGGAGAAGCTGGCATGGCTGGGCCTGAACCAATTGAATAAACGTTCCATGAAATGGTTCTGAAGTGCGGATCAATCAATATGGGGGCTATCAATCTGAGGGGCAAATTAAAACAATTGAGAAAAACAACAAGAGGAAAACGGTCATGGAAAGGATGGACTGATGCACGCGCGGGGGGAAAGGGGCAAACATATTTCCTGCTGAGAGGCTAAATACTTGTGTATGCTTTGCTTACAGTACAAAAAAACATGAACTAAAGCTGTCCATATGCACTTGGACACATGGCCATGCATACGCATGTGCACACACTATTGATCTGCACCTCACAGTCAAATCTGTTTACGGCTGTTGTCTGAACCTGCTGTAAAGTCATCAATCATTTGCATACACCACCTCCACACTGCAGCCAGCCCCCGTTCATCCACTCACCCTCATTTATTGCTTTCCTTTTCCTCCCTTTCCACCATTTCCTCTCATCCTCCCGTGCATGCACCCACATTAAACCTAAAGCCGGGATCATCCCCGTTTCTTCCTGTCCTCCAGCACCTGACTCCATCTGCTGCTCTCCCAGACTGGACGACTGCCACTCTTTTCCCGCCTGCCCCCCCCCTTTTGTTCTTCCCGAGATAAACAATTTCTCCTCATCTGTCTGTCACAGAGCGCGTTCTCGAGCCACACTCCCGAGTGCGAGTCGATGCGCGCACACACACAAAAGCAGCCCACGCGCACCTCGCTCTAGCGGATCGATGGGGATCGATCGGGTGGGGAAGGGAGCCCTGATTACTGGACCACGTGTTCGGGAGAAAACCGCCGAAAATCGATCATTGCAGCTTTTTAGGGCAGCAGAACAGAACAGACTCCCTCCAGTCTCCACAGCCAGAGCCGAGCCCGCACTGACGGTGCATCCAGGCAGCGCGGCACACCGCTCCTCTGTCAGCATTTCACATCACGCTCCTCCGGTTTCAGCAAGACGCACAGATCCACAATAAAAAAAAACACTTGAGGCCCCATCCGTAACCTCGTCGTTTCTATCACCGGTTGCCCCAAAATGTCGTTTGCACAATCGTTTACCAAAACAAAACGAATTTATCAACCCCACAGGAGGCAACAAAAATAACATTAGAGCAGGGATATGTTTTGGATTATATTTCAGATACATCTCTCATCTTTTTCTTTCTGCTAATTTAATCTCTATGAAAAAAAATGGATGGGATTTCAAACTTGGCAATTAACCACGCCTCACAATAAATTAATAAATAAAAAAATAAAACAAAGTGTCACTTTGGAAATGGAAGTGTGATTAGTGGTGCAACCTTGCATCATATAATTATGAATATACAAACAAAAACTTATATTTATTCAATGTCACATCTCCCACACAAAGTGGGCAGAACACCAAGTTGTATAAAGTAGATCTGACAGTTTTTCATAATTAAAAATATGTACATGTTGAAACATTTCTAAGAGAAAAATAAAAGTCATTCAACGACAGGAGTCCACAAAGTGAAGTTACTTTTCACTTTGAAGAGTTAATCGCCTTGAGGTCTGTTGAACAGTCGTCTTCTTCTCCAGCCACAGATGAAGACCACAAGGAAAATGCTTTGTAATGCATTTAGGGACAGTTTGAAAAATGGAAGTTCACAGGCAGAGGCCTTCAAGGTAATTGTATGGAAAAATAACAGTAAATAAAATATATGAACCATTACTCTCAAATAACAACGTATTATTGGAGAAAAAGTCTAATAATTGACTTTTTAAATGCTCCAAGTAAATGGAAAAAAACGATAAATCGGCTGTGTTACAGTAAAGGGCATATAAATAATTTACAATGTTTTTAAAGGCTGCATCCAAAAACTTCAATAATGTTCTTTAGAAGATGTAATGATGGGTTCTCCTTAAGCACTGGCTGAGGTTGGGTTTAATTGAATTAGATATGAAGTTCAGATTTGGAAAGTGAAAACAGGGAAGCTGCATATTCTGCTATCTGCTTCTCCACTCTGTCTTTTGCAACCTGATATAATTTATGCTGCATAGTATTCTGGCATATAACACCACGATCTTTTCTTAAAATTAGGACTTTCCGAACCTACCTGAACACAAACAGCTGCTAATTGTCCGTTTTCAACTTTCTGCGTTCACTCCCTGATTTACCCTTTTCTCATTGTGGAGCCTCATTCCCTTGTATGTCTTCACGGGTCTTAAACCCAAATAATATCAACATTTATTAGATTATTTTCTCACCAAAAATATGTTTTGCCTTCCCCTTGACTTGGCTACTTTGATTATATAATTAACTGTGTCCCTCCTTTTTTTCGTCTCCCCCCGTCTGTTTATTCCTTCTCTGTGTCCAGCATGCAAACGTAAGGAGGAGGACCGGGGGCGAGAGCGCAACCAGGTGCCAAAGAAGCAGCGACTGGTCTTTACCGACCTGCAGCGTCGCACCCTGGTAGCCATCTTCAGAGAGAACCGCCGCCCCTCCAAAGAGATGCAGCTCACCATCTCTCAGCAGCTGGGCCTGGAGCTCTCCACCGTCTCCAACTTCTTCATGAACTCTCGCCGCCGCTGTCCTGACCGCTGGGACACGGAGGAGCACGGCCACGGGGTGCACGGCCACGTGCACGCCTCGCACGGAAACAACAACAACAACGCGTCGCCGATCCAACCCGGCACCTCCTCTGCAAACACCTTCTCCAAGGCCTGACGGCTGCAGGACGGATGGCTCAGGGGAGGCGTGGAGGATAGAGGAGAATTTTTTTTCCTTCATAACAACCGAACGTTATACTCTGACTGCTGTTCTTTGGCTGCTGAGCGTGCGGCCTCAGACAGTTGCGCCTGATCCATCTGCCCTATGTGTCGCACATGTGCAGATGAATCAGATCCTCTCGTTTTGTTTTCCTTTGATACGAATGTCCTTCTATGTGGGCCAACCTGCATTTGATATAAGGCATCTTATACCAAAGATCTGGTAGCTTTAAACAGTTTTACCCTCAATCACGTGTAACTCTGTGCATCCATTTGAAAACCAAAGATAATCCATCTACAGTTTCCTGCACACTGGGCCTGTGCTCTAAAAAGGGAGGACTTTTACTCTACGAATCTTAGAACCCATTTTCACTCACGTTCCAAGAACCAAAGAGCAGTTAAATCTGCTTGGTATCCACTTGAATCAGGCCTGAACGTTTGCACACTTAGCTGCAATGTGGTCTTGCTTCATATGTTGTAAGTTAACTCCAGCAATAGATATCAGAT